CACTATTTCGTTAATTTCGAGTTTAAGTTGTCCTCGTTCGTCTTCTTTTGCCCATGTTTTTGGCTTGAATTCTCTTGTGAGGTACTTTATCTTTTTAAATAGGTCCCCTGGTTGATTTGTGAAAGCGTGAGATTCTATTTCCTGGTATATTTTTTCATAGTAGTTGTTCTTGTCGATGGTGCAACTGTGCTTGATCTCTGTATTTATTTTTCTATATTTATCTTTTTCATCTTGTGTTTTTATACCACTTTGCACTAATGCGTCTTTCTTCAACTTTTAGCAATGTGCTGTCAGAAATCCAATGTTTGTTTTCTTGTCTTTTGTTTAGTTGTCGAGACGTGGCATTACTCTGACAATTTTTAAAAGCTGTTGCGGTTGGGTGTTCTCGTTAATGTTCCACGATGTTTTCAGTAGTTCTTGTTGAAAATGTGTTACGCCGGGGATCTGCATCGGCTTTGGTCTTGGTTTTCTTACAACATTTTTTAACTTTAAACGAATCTTTGCTGCCAGTAACTTATGATCCGAGCCACATATTACCGCCGAGGTAAGTCCGTACTGTCCTGAACGAGGTTCTCCATCTCGAGTTAGAGAGAATATAATCTATCTGGTTGCGTACTCTGTCTCCTGGACTAGTCCATGTGTAGAGCCTTCGGATATGATGTTGAAATGTTGTGTTCATTATAGTTTTAGATTTTGCAATCGAAAACAATCTGTTTTCGATTGCAAAATCAAGTAAGCGTTCACCCCGTTCATTTCTTACACCGATACCATATTTACCAACAATAGTTTTAATATGTTCGTTATCAGTTGTATCTCCAATTTTAGCATTGAAGTCGCCGGTTACTATATATGGTTAGCTCTTTGTTCGGAACGTTTTGGAGAGAACTTCTTAGATCATGGTAGAAATGATCGATGTCGACATCGCTCGAAGCAGCAATCGGAGCATACACCTGAACAATATTTATTGGGTTTGGCCTGGCGTTCAATTTTAAGGCCATGATTCTGTCGCTTATAGCTTTAAGTCCAAAACATATTTCTGTAATTTTTCGGATACAATGACTGCAACACCAGTATATAATTTTGTTGATCGGCGCTTGAAAAGTAGACATAGTTATTAAAACTAGTTTTGAAGAATCCTTGACCTATCCAATGTATCTCCGATAGCCCTGCAATATCCATTTTATATCTTTTCTATAATTGCTAGTTTCCTGGTATGAGTTTTAAGTCCTTGTACATTTCACGTAGCCACGCTCAGAGTATTCCTCATTTGTATATATAATCTGTTGTTTTGAAGAATAAGAATCCTGGCCTTTGATATTCTTGCCAGTAGCTGATTTACCACTACTTGACCCGGACTCAAGGTAGCGCCGGTTGTCAATCGGATTGCATGACGTTGTCCGAGACCTATCGTCTTGCTTCATTACACATCATACCTACTGTCATGGGAAGATAATGCAGTGGATTCCCCTGCTCTACTGCATGGAAAGGATATAGGTAGGATATAATAGGAGCATGGATAGATAGGACGATGGGATGAGTCATGATTTCTCTCTAGGAAAACATAAAATAGAAACAACTAATTTATTCTAATATCTAATTTATTCTAATAATATATAATAATATAATAATAGGTATACGATAATACTATAACGTCAGATGTATTAATATCTAAGATGTAGAGTTGGGCGAAAACATGATTTTACAATCACAGGTATATATAATATAGGTAGGACTGTGATTTCTAATTATTCGTTGTGAAATTAACCTGTGACTGTGATTTATATCGTAATCGTAGTAAACCTGTTCGTGATATATTTTATTTACTGTTACTTCTTAACTTCGACTGTGATTTCACTATCGATCTTTCACATATAGCAACTAGTTTATGATGCATAACCGCGCCAGAAGACCACCGTATAACGACAACACTAGACTGCTGATCCTGATCATGTTATTATATAAAATAATGAAATGATTTACTTATTAATCTATAATACAATATGTAATATGTGTACCTGTGTACCTATATAAAACTCAATGCTGATTGACATAGGTATCAACGCACAGCCGAAACCACTTAACATGTGAACTGAAACTGTGATAGAAGTACGAATTTTGGCACATAGGGGTTCCTTGATGAGTAATGTAAATGAGCACAAAGAGGGGATTTTTAGAAATTCGACCGCTAAGGTTGGTTAGGTATGGGATGAACGTATGTAAGAATGAAAGAAATGAAAGATGTAAAGTTGTATAAAAATTTGGTCTAGGGGTATGATTTTTTTATGGGGGCTCCTTGGCTGACGTAATTGAGCACTAAGGGGCGATTTAAGACAGGGGGGGAAATTCGCTCTTTAAGACAGGGGGTGATATGAGGGGTGAATTTTGTATACAAAAAAAATTAAAGATTGACCTAGAGGAGTACGAAATTTTGCACAGGCACCTCTGTGCAAAATACAATTAAGCAGCATAATTGAGCAGTTCGCAGCGATTTTCAGAAATGTTTCTCAAAAGGGGGTGAAACTGGAGGTGAAATTTTGTATAATTTTTTAGTTCAAAAATTAGTTCTAGTAATGTGAATTTTGTAGATGTTCCCTAAGTGTCGAAAGGGTGAGTACTACTCAGAAGCGAATTTTGGACATTCATCCCCTAAGATAATAAGAAAAAGGTACGAAAATTGATACAAAAATTTGTTAAAATTGGTTTAATTTAGCACTAAGAAGCAATTAGTGAAAATTTGCCCTCTTAGGGGGTGAAATGAGGAGTGAACGCTCTGAAAAAAATTTGGTCTATGTGTATAAAAATTTGCACAGAGGTTTCTTATGTAGCGTATTGAATAGTTAGGCCGGTTTTTCGGAATTCATTCCTTAAGGGGGTAAAACTAGCGGTAAAAATCCGTTCTAGGACTATGAGAATAAAATTTTGCACAGAGGTCCCCTAAGTGATGAAAGTGAGTACTCAGAGGCGAATTTTGGACATTCATCTCCTAAGAAATAAGGGATGAAATTTTGTTAAAGTCGGTTTTACTAAGAACAAATTTTTGAAAATTAGCCCTCTAAGGGCGTGAAATGTATGGTGAACGTTCTGAGAAAAAAATGCTTGTTATTGCTAAATTACGTTACATAAGCAACATCTGTCCAGAATTTCATATTTCTAAATCCAATTTTAACAAATTTTAGTACACATATTCGTCCCTTATTTCACCCCCTTAAAAGATGAATCTCCAAAATCCACTTTCGTCACTTGAGAAATCCATGTACAAATTTTCATACTCCTAACTAATTTTAAATTATTATTATTAAAAAAAAAATATGCAGAATTTCACCCCAGTTTCTCCCCCATAAGAATAAATTTCCGAAAATCGTTTTTAACTGTTCAGTTTCGCTACCTAACCTAACAATTCTCTGTACAAACCTTCACCCCTCTTAGGAAATTAACTTTCCTGAGTACTTACTTTTATTACTCAAGGGACCACCTCTGTACAAAATTACATACTGCCAGGACGGATTTCACATAAAACTTATATCTACAAATTTTCACCCCTAGTTGTACCCCCTTAAAAAACGACGAAAATCGCTTTCACTATTCAATTACCCTACACAAGGAACCTCTTGCAAATTTTCATACTCGTAATATCTGTTATTTTCATTTCACCCCCCTTAAGAGGACGAATTTCCAAAAATTGCTTCTTAGTGCGAAATTACGTTACGTAAGGAACGTCTGCGCAGAATTTCATACTTCTAAAACCGATTGTAACAAATTTCTATACCAATTTTCATCCCTTATTTCTTAGGGGATAAATATCCAAAATTCACTTCTAATTACTCACTTTCATCACTTAAGAGACCTCTATATAAAATTTCACACTCCAAGGACTAATTTAAGAAAATATATACGAGTATATGTACAACATTTTACCACCCACCCTTAGGAGATGAATTTCCAAAAATCGCTCTTAACTTTACGCTACTTAAACCTCTGTGCAAAATTTCGTGACTAAGGAGCCTCCGTGAAAAATGTTATACTCCTAGAACAGATTTCAACAAATTTTTATCATAACTTTCTTCTCTAATTTCACCTCTTAGGGGTCAAATTTCCGAAAATCCCTTCTTAGTGCTCATTTACATCACTCAAGGAACCTATTTGCCAAATATACTACAATACTTCAATACCCAATACTACTACATATTACGTACTTTCTTTCCAATTTTTTTAATGGCGCTTATTACTGCCGGTTGGTCTTAAGAAGGTTGCAATTTACTTTTGAGTAAAAATAATTTTTGAATGGAATGCACTGTATATTACATAGTAGAGTATTGCATTTTTAACTTCCTTTCTGACCACTTTACATAATCCTAAGAAATTATTAAATATGTTTTGATAGTTTCAGAGATATTAATATTTTTTAAGCTTTTAAAAAAAATATATTATCAAAAATACAAGAAATGCCCTGAAATGAAAAAAGATAAAATTACTTTTTTATATTGTCAATCACGTCGCAAAAATTAATACTTTTGTGACGTTTGAAAAAAGTAATTTTAAAGCCTAGGCATTTATCTATGAGCCTAGGCATAAAAGTAAAGCACTTTTACGTGCTTTTACGCCTAAGCATAAAAATACGAAAATATTAATATAATAATATTAATTATTAAACCGACATAAAGTGTAAAATTCAACGGGCGTAACCATAATTTCTCGATATATAATTATTATATACAAGGTATGACTTAAATATTTTTATACTTGGAACTTTTAAAATTGTTTAAAAATTTATTTGTGGCGTTAGGAAAAAAATAGCATGTTCTATTCGCAGTAAAATTGATTTTTGTGACTCGGCTGTAGTCAAACGTACACCTTTTTATAAAACGCTTCCCATTACAACTCATTTTTTTATGAAATCCGTTTTCTAAAATCTAGTTTCTAAAAAAAGTAACACTATTTATATAAACAAACATTATAATTTATGTTATGTGTATTTCACATTTTATCGATTTATTTCATATTTCAGGTATAAATATATGTACATTCCCAATTAAAATGACTAACACAATTAATAATATAAAAATAATAATAAATATATAGGTAATGTAAAATAATATTGTAAAAAGTACATTCCCAATTAAAATGACTAACACAATTAATAATATAAAAATAATAATAAATATATAATGTAAAATAATATTGTAAAATAATTCAATTAAAATAACGTCTCCTTATATCACGCGTTACATATTTTATCAATATGTTCATCTTGTTCAAAAGATGACTTCCAATTAATAACATATTTGTCAGTGCTAACTAATCTCATATTATTTACAGAATCAACTATCCATCCTATATGAACATGTTTTGCTGTTTTAGGCCAATCTGGACGTATGTGCTTTATCTTTTTGTGAAAATGAAAAATATGAGTCACTTCTTTCAAATTTGGAGCTTTTAATACTGTACCACCATATGCAATAAAATACCTAAAAATATTAAAAACTCTATAGTATTCCATAATTTACACTTTAATTAAAATTAATCTCCTTAAAGAGAAAAGAAATAAAGATATACAAATATTAAGGAAAATGAAAATTAAGGAAAAAAATGTTTTCCTTAATGTTTAACTCACCTTTCAATTTCAGTGTTTTCTTGTACTATAAAAGTCGTTTTTAAACCTTTAAACAGTTCTTGTAATGGATTTATAAGCTTCACTTTCCTTTTAGCAATATCATGATCTTCTGACTTAATTTTGTTTCCTTTTGTATCCTTCGTGGATAACTTTTCACTGTCTTTCTTAACTTTTCTCTTTTTAGAGGTGCCTTCAGACAGAAAAGTGTCTCTATCGTGAACTTTTAACTTTTTTGATGGACTACTATCACTAAATGAATTAGAACCATCAGAAACCCTTTTCTTCTTAGACAATGGTTTCTCTTCCGTCATAATTTCGTCAGTATCTTTCATTTTTCCTTGAAAATCTTTTAATAATAGACTGACATCAGTATCTTCTTTAGATTTTTCGAAAAGTATTTTAAGCTCATCAGTGTTAGTAGCTGTTTCCCACGTTTTGTCTTCCCTTATTTTTGTTACTCTAGGAAATCTGAAAATAAAAATAGAACATAAAGAATAAATATTTTGTTTTACATTTCTATATAGTGGTATAAATTACCTTATTGATATGCCGTGAGCAGTATGAACATTATGTTGTGTGAACTCTGCTCCAGTTATCTCCCAAACGGGTTGTTTCTTTGGATCCTTAGCGACAAAATCCGGTACCATAGTTCTTGTACAATTAAGCCAACTGGGAACTTTGTCTGGGTCACAATTTATTTTTTCCATTTTTAATTCTTTTTGAAGCATATCAAGTGTCTTGTCGTCGTGCCCTAATACATATTTTCCACTAAATTAAAAATATCAACGAACGTAATAATTATGAAGGCATAAAATAGTATCAAAAAGTTTTATGATTTGGCTTTGACTTTGATATTGACTTTGAAATTTCAATTCTAATACATTCTCCAATAAGAATTGTTGATGAAACAATTGAACAAAAAGTGAGATGATAGCTGATACATTTATTGTGTAAGTATAGTCAAATTTCCCCAAAAAAAATTGGCGCCGGGAGGCACGTACTGTTTGACCAGCGGATCTGAAGCTACGGAAGGAATGCGAGAAAAAAAATCGATATTGCCACGTTTATCTATAAAATTGCAAAATTGCCAGACATGAACTATAAATTTAATATATTTTTATTATATATAATGTGTTTAGCATATATTCTGACGTATATTACTAAGGAATTTTAACGTAGTTCATATTGTTGGATATGTTTTATTTAATATAACTTATTTCATTCATTCTGTATAATCTGCTTATTACGAAAGGTGAAGATATGTCAACGATATCATTGGCAAACCGGCATCGCCGCGCATGGCCGCCTATTCATCGAATTGATAATTGGCGAGAGTACGTCACAGGATTTGTTACAACGCGGTTGCCATGGCTTTTACGCCTTTCCTATTCGCTAGCCTTATCCCCAACTTCACGGTTACTTCTGAAAAGAGTAGAAATATTGAATACTATTGAAATATCCAGTGGCGGTGTCATTCTTTTGATCATTATTACTTTCTTTCATTATTTTATACCAGTTATCCTAAACTTTATTCCTATATTTTTCGTATATTTAATAGTTAAAATGTGTTTTATTATTTTGTTGTTATAATGTTTTTCGTTCGTAGTTTTTAATTATTAATATTAAGTTTGATCGTATATTTGTGTTTTAAAATAAATAAATTTGTTAAGGGTAAGACGCTACATAGCCAGGACAAAAGAACATGTTTATAGGTAAGTAGAATAATAATAATGTAATTATTAGAATACTAAAATTAAATATTGGCTAAAATGAAAAGCACACATTTTACCTAAATATTTTAGCTAAACTAAAATAAATGTAAATAAACGTGGATGAAATCTCATTTGGTTTATTTCCTTGTGTTCATAACAGGGTTTGCGACGAAGAAGCTACAGAGAGTTCGCTTAAGTTGCCGCTTAAACGTAAACTTGAGCGGATATCTCTTTATACCGGAGTTAGCGTATCAGCTATAAAAAAATTCACACAGAAGATAAAAAAAGACTGGAAACTTACCCCGATAAAATGATATCCAGTCCTGGAAAGAAACGGCTACGTGAGCTCGACGACTTTGATTTCCAAGTGGTCAGGAATTTGATAAATAGATTTTATCTCGAATTCAAAGTCGTCCCCACAATTAGAAAGCTTTTGCAAAAATTGCAGGAAGAATCGAATTTTCCTTTGGCAGGGAAACGCTTAGGGAGTTATTAAAAACAAATGGATTTTTTTGGCGTAAATGTCAAAATAACAGATAAATATTAATGGAGCGGCCCATTATATTGCAGAGAGATATAAATATATACGCGAAATTCGAAAATATCGCCAAGTATTATCTATTTGGATGAAACATGGGTAGACAATGACCTAACCTTTAAAAAGTGATGGCGGAGCGATACCATATTTGGTGTAATAGGCAATATTGGATCTACTGGTGAGTAAAATTATGTTTTGTTTGCGCTTCCAAAGTTAACTATTTTCAAGATTTTTTTGCTAGAAATAGTTATATCTAAAATTATGTATTGTAGAAAAAATATAGTTAGTACAGATATATAAATAAATATACCTCAAGACTCAGTCTTGATCATCTGCTGATGATGTTAACATGGTTAGCGAAACGTGCGCCCAGTGTAAAAGTAAAAGTGTTTTGGTGTATTGTGCTGATTTAGTGTTTTATTTTGCTGTGTAACACCAAAAGTTCCAACCCCCAGCTGTAATCATTTCTTCTATTATATTAACAACACATAATAATAAAATTATTCAAAATATTTAAGGGAGCTTTAATAAAAGCTTTTAGTGTGTTTATCTGCTAACTCAAGAGTACCGATTCAAACAGGACAAAGTTTTTTGAAAAAAAATTATTAATCAGAATTTATATTTATGATACACATTATTTTCATAAAACACCGTACGCCCATGCCTATTTTATGAATGAAACTGGGCGTGTCTTGTTTACAACTGCGTTCCCCTGCCGATACCCCGTAGCTACAGATCCGTTGGTCACACTATATACTGAGCCGCCCATACTAAAATATGTTAATAATCAATTATCTCAAAAACTGCGACTTTGACTGATTTTGATGTTATTACAAATTTTGTTGCAAATATTATTCCTAATCTTAAATTGAAAACCGCGTTTCGCTAGCTACTGTAATTTTGGAGTTTGGATAGGTAGGGTTTAGTGGCTAGGTTTTGGTTGGATTTTTTTAAATTTTTTAAATTTTTTAAGCATTAATTGAGTGATTTGATGAACTTAATGAGGCTTAAGTGAGATGAAGATCATCGAGACATTGATTTTTCTCCAAAGAGTAACCATAACTCCGATTCTGAATCTCTTACTTATAGAAGAGAGAAAACTGAATAATCAATACCAGAGAAGAAAGAGATGTAGTATATGGCAACCATATGTCAATGAAGAAATGACAAAAACAAAAATCTCATGAATGAAATGTGCAAGATCCATATGCGGTAAATGCAGATCCTATATTAGCATGAACTGCATTTGAAAAAGTTATGTACATTCAAGGTTTGCAGTTTTGTTGGGTTTGGGTTGTTTGAAAATAATTTATGTTTATTACTTTAGCTTCACATTTCAGTTGTTTGTACTTTTAATAATACGGTAAAATCATAAAATATACAGTGTGTCCACGAATTGACTCCCAAAGAGGGAAAACTTTTTTATTGGTGTGTTTATGAAAAAAAGTTATTCTTCATAAAAACTCCTGCTTGAGCTTAAACGACCAATAGGCATATTATTTTTACAAATGTATATACTGAGTGTTAAAAAGTTTAAAAAATATGGAAAGCGCTAGGAACAAAGTACTTGTATATGTAAAGATATGATGAAAAGTTATTAATAATAGTTTATTTTATAGCCTCCATTGGTTAATTTAAAAAGGAAAATAATGAAATTGCGTAAAGGTAAACAAGGATTTTAAATTTATTCAAAAAAAATTAAGTTAATTTAGAGTAAATGGTATTTTATATGGAGAGGAATCTTTTACCAATCCCTGTACATTTAGGTAGTGAGATAAAATTTGGTAACGTGGTGTAGTTTTTCAATCCCTAGAACTTTTATTAATAACTTTTCACCGTATTTTTACATATACTAAGTACCGTATGATCGAATAAAAACGGCGTCCAGTTGGCTTGGAAATGACGATCGATGGCATTTCCTATATAAATTTACATATAAAATGACAGCGATCTTCATTTCATAGCCATCGCTGACGCCGTTTTTATGACGCCGTATCATACGGTACTTTGTTCTTAGCGTTTTCCATATTTTTTAAACTTTTTTACACTCGGTATATACATTTGTAAAAATAATATGCCTGTTGGTCGTTTAAGCTCAAGCAGGAGTTTTTATGAAGAATAACTTTTTTTATAAACCCACGAATAAAAAAGTTTTCCCTCTTTGGGAGTCAATCCGTGGACACACTGTATATGTTTTTAATTTCTATGGGTTTCTTAGCCAAGTTATATTTCTGTTGTCAAAAATTTCTAAAAAAATGCGTTTTACTTTATTTTTGTGTCCGTTCTTATTAATTTGTTGAAAATTAATGAAACTATTTGTTCACAAGTTTGAATATATTGTAAACAATGTTAAAACAACACGCTTTTTATAAAATCTCTTCATCATGTATTTTTAACTGAAAAAATAAATTGGGGTCCGTGGGAGCACGCCATAAGCGTTACAAAAATTCATCATGCCAGTTTTGAGGGTTAAAATCGGTTTAGCGGTTTTTGAGTTATCGTGTTACAGACGGACAGAGACAGACAGACACCATGAAAATATTTTGTATTTAGGCCATTTATGACCCAAATAACTCAATTTGAGTGAAATTAAAAAAACTTTTTTTTCCGATCTTAATAGCCTACCATACCTGTTGGTACGATAAACGAGTTTGTTTACGATATTCTCCTACTGTGGCAGCACCGGCGGAAAATACACCAAGCCTATTGGTCTGCTCTTTTAATTCGATTTTTATTTGTATCTAGCTATTAAGCTTGATTTTCATGCATCCGTTGTCCGACGATACGTTGATACGATATTAATTTTATTGGTAGAATTTAAAGACTTTGGTTAGAAAATAACGCAGTTTTTAAATTTATTGCATTTTCATGCTTCCGTTTATCGGATATACGTTGGTGTTATTTTATATTTTCGTTTCCATAACGATTTTGCTATTTTACTTATACTTTTATTAAGGTTAGATTAAATTTGTCAAAAAGTGTCAAAACGTCCGTTATCGTATAAACGGGTCCGTTGTCGGGCTGAAGTAAAATATTTACGGATGAAAAGTGGCGCGAAAACGCTATGACCAATCAGAGCACCGTCGCGCGTCGGACCAACGCGTACCAACGTATAACGGATGCATGAAAATCAAGCTTTATGCATATCGCAAGTAGGAACGGGCAACCCTGCATTTCTTTGTGTCTCTGTCTATCAACTCGTTATAACGTAAGAATTATTCTTAATAAGACTTGTTGTTCGTTTTACTCATTGAGGGCGTTCAGGGACGGTCAGAGGCTGAGTGGCTGAGTAAGCCCAAACGGTCTATTTTGACGAACAACAACAGTCAGCCTCTGCGCCAAATTCTCAGCGGTAAATATTTAACCAAAAATAAATTTATCTAACTCCTGTTTGAAATATAAAACAACAAATATGTACTCTTAAGCACCAAACATGCAAACATCCGGTTGTGAGCAAGCATTTCAAAAAGTTTACCTGTATGAACTTTGGTTACAGTGCAAAACTTTTTGGAGGCCGGATTGTAACTTCCCATCAGAAACACCGACATCATTCCACCTTTTTGACCAGTACCATACCATGCTCCCAAAACTATCAAATCTGCGCTATCCGCCATTGCACCACCGAAGAGATAATCCTTCTTAACTTTTAACCAATGCCTTTTCCCCGGTTCGTATTTGCTCATAGTGTCTTTTAAAACCAGCCCTTCCAAACCTAAAAGTAGTTTTTAAGTTTCATTTCACTAACATGATAATAAATTATTCAAATATCACCTAATTTTAAAACCTTTGCAATCATTTTAGCCAAAGTTTTAGGTTCGTCGATTTCCTTCATTTCCGAAAAAACGATATGATTCTGTACCTCAATCATGTTGTCATGTAAAATTTGCTTACGCTCTTTCAAGGGTTTATTTATTAAACTCTCTCCGTTATAATATATGCAGTCAAACACAAATAAACATACGGTGGCATCTTTAAACTGTGCCTTTTTATGAACGCCCAACGTTCCAAACGGTAATGGTTTGCCTGTAGCGGTGTCCATCATAAGTATTTCGGTGTCCAGTATCAAGTCGTTACCATGAGGAAAGGCCTTCGGGATATAGTCTTTGAAATGAGATACCTTATGAGGCAGCACCGGTTTTAACGATCGTGAAAAATACTTAAATTCTTTACCATGTTTATGAACTTGTACCCTAAAATATAATTAAAAAATACAAATATATAGTCTTACACAAAGAGCAATTATTGAATTATGAACTATTAAATATAACTATTAATTTAATTTTAATGTTCCACACATTTCAAATTAATTTTAACGATAATAATATTTCCTTATATTAATCCTTATAAAAATAACTACAGACGGACATACGAAACGAATCACTAGAATTTGTGCTTTTGATCCACTTAATGGGTTTTGGCACAAAAAATTATTGACAATTTTTAGAAATTAAAAAATTGGCTACCTCCTTTTGATGGCAGTCCATATTGAGTTTACCGATAAGAATTAAAATTGTTATATTATTATATTTTATAGCCTACTAGGTAGAAATTATTGGCAAAAATTAAAGAACTTTAGCTTTATCTAGTTTGTATATTTTGCGGAAACTTGGTTATGTAAAAAGCACAAATTAAGGAGTTGTATTTGTTTATTATACTGATTTTAACTCTTATTACACTAGTGCTTCCAATTTACTTTATATTCCCAGATATTGACCTACAAACTGATAAAGGCCATATATAAGCGATTTATTAAAACTATAATGCCATTAGAAACTAAACAAATTAAAAATAAATTTGCACGCACACAAGCGGTTAAATATGTGTAAGTACCGGTCCTACAACCGGTATACCGCTTCCAACAATTACATCGATGGGACCGATACTGGACCGGTATACCTGCTGGACAGGATGACCGGTTGGACCGGACGCACCGGAATATCAGAAAGACCAAAATAACAGTTTTGGTTGCTGAGCCAGTGAGGATATATTATTATCTCGTGATGGCCGTATTAAAAAATGTAAATAGAAAGTTCTCGTGCCTGTAACGTTAAGTAAATACGGTAACGTAATAAATATTGTCAAGGTGTATTACTGGTTGCATAACTGCATACTGCTAAAAAATCGCAACGTGCATTGAGGAACCTGGCGCATTCGCCAGAAAGTAAAGAAAATTATAGAATTCTTTAGAACAATCTAGAAACAACCGCCAGGGGGTATATAAGGCCCGCGCTTTGACAGTTGGACAAGTTTAAAGTTTGAAGTCTAAAGTCTGAAGATAGTCTGAAGTCTGAAGTTTGAAAATACCGCGAAATACCGTTAGAGTAATAGTAGTTGCATAAGTTGTGTTGTAAATAGTATAAGTTGTGTGTACAGAGTGAAACAAATAAATTCGTTAAGTATTTTATCGTGAGTTTAAATAGTGGACCCACGGAATCCGTAACAATTGGTGTCGGAAGTACGATTCAAGAAGATTTTAAGAAGAAATTAAGTGGATTGGAAGATTTTTAGACCGGATTAGAGTTTTTTATGGTTGGTACAAGGGAACAAGCGAAGAAAATGGAGGAAGTAAGCAAACTATTAGGCGATTTTATGGAGAATATGAGAAGGGAGAAAGCAGAAGAACAAGAAAGACTCCGTAAAGAACGAGAAGAAGAGCGAGCCCGATTAGAAAGAGAAAAGGAAGAGGAAAAACTACGACGTCAACAAGAACAGGACCGGCTTGAGAACATTTTCGAAGATTTGAAAATTCAACGACAACAAGAGAAACAAGAAGAACAGGACCGGCTTGAGAAAATACTGGGTAATTTGGAAATTCGTTTGGAGGAGCGACGTCAAAAAGAAAGACAAGAAGAACAGGACCGTATTCAGAAAATTTTAGAAAATCAAGGAATTAAACAAGAACGGTTGGAGAAAATTGTTGAAGATTTAGAAGTGCGTCGCCAGAAAGACAAATTTAAAGATCAGGACCGTCTTAAGAAAACTTTGGAAAATCAGGAATTTCGACTACAGAAGAATTTTGAAGACCTGGAAAAACGGCAGGAAAATCAACTTCAAGAAACCGTAGAAGATCTTGAGGAACGCCTTCAGCAGAAGATAGAAAGATTGGAGATGGACCTACAGAAGACCAAGGTACAAGTAAAGACACTTGGCGTTCAACGCACAGCGAACCTTAAGGCCCCGACCTACGATGGACAAACGACATGGACAATGTACCACCGTCAGTTTGAAGCAGCCGCCGCTGCCAACGGATGGACTGACCAGGAGAAAGCAGCGGCACTTGTCCTCGCGCTGCGTGGCCCTACCCTGGAACTGTTGCAAACTATTCCTGCAGCCCAACAGCAGGAATACCAAACTTTGGTCGCTGCACTGGACAGAAGATATGGCGACCAACATCGACGCCAACTTTACCAGGCCCAGATCAAGACACGCCTGCAGAGGTCCGGAGAGAGTCTGCAGGAATTTGAAGCAGACTTACGTCGGCTGGTACACCTAGCGTATCCTGAAGCACCGGAAGGATTTAGGGAGGAACTCGCTGCTCAGTGCTTTATCAGCGGACTGAGGGACAACGAATTACAGAGGGCGCTGCAAATATCCCGATTTTCTACCAGCAGCGAAGCACTGGTCGGGGCGCTGGAAATCACAGCTGCTTTTAGCGCCATCCCTAGACCGAAGATAAGATCGGTAAGGGTAGAGGAACAGCCCGAGAGTACCCACAGAAGTTTGGAGGAGATGTGTAGAAAATTCGACAAACTATGTGAGCTACTAATAAACAAGAGAGTCAACAACACCCAGACAGAGAACCAGAGAAGATCCCAGGATATTAGGTGCTATAGATGTGGCAGGAATGGCCATATCCAACAGAATTGTCGCATCCAAATGCCATTCCGTTCATCATTAAGAGAACATCGGCATATCGGAAGATCCCAGGACATAAGTTGCTATAGATGTGGCAGGAATGGCCACATCAAACGGGATTGCCGTGTCCAAATGCGATTCCGTTTACCATCGAGAGAACATAGGCACCAGGAAATTAACACTAATGAGCAAGTATTGGCTGAAGAAAACAGAGACCCTAGGATGTTTTCCATTAGGAGTCTAGGAAAAAACGCTGACAGTTTGGTGATCAACGGGAAGGTCAATGGTAGAAGAATTCGAATGACTGTGGACACAGGCGCTATGGTATCGTTAGTGCGGACTAACTCAGTGCAAGGATTGAAGATGATGCCTCTTAGAAAAAGAGTGTATTTACGTACAGTTACGGGGGAAATGGCCGTTGTACGGGGAGAGGCTTTCATGGAACTGGAGTTAGGGAATTTGAAGTTTCGGCATAGCGTTTTAGTGGCAGACATTGAAGATGATTTTATCATGGGTATGGATGTGATCAGTCAACATGGTTTTTCGTTCAATCACCATAGAAACATCCTGAAAATCGGAAATGAGGAATTTGCTGTATTTAAAGAGAAGATACCAGGAAATATGGAAGCAAGATCAGCGGAAATTGTGATGATACCTGGTGATGCCAAGAAGACTGTGTTCGGGAAAATAGAGAAAACCTCTGGGTGCCGTGTAGGACGGATACAAATTATCGGCAACGAGCCAGATCGACGACGGGCTAACCTGGACAAGAAAATGCAACATCGCGAAAGCGCTATCAGAGTAAAGAATTTTAAGCTTGGAACCGATGAAAAGTGGACGACGACACAATTGAGGAAAGACCAAATGGAAGATCCAGACATCGGGGCAATACTACGGCTCAAGGAAGGTAACGGCGAGAGACCACCGTGGCAGGATATTGCGGACAGAGGGCTCGTTTTCAAAGCTCTCTGGGCTCAGTGGAATTCACTGGTTATTGAGAATGGATTGTTAAAGCGCACATGGGAAAGTGCGGATGGCAGCACAGTAACAACTCAGTTACTGGTACCAAGGAAGAAAGTTACCCAGGTATTGGAAGAAATTCACGGTGGTAAAACTGGAGCCCATCTTGGGGTAAACAAGACCTTGAGCAAGCTGAGAGATCGCTTTTACTGGGTGGATTATTGCGAAGATGTCAAGAAATGGTGTCGACAATGTAAAATTTGTGCAGCCAGCCAAGGACCAAGCACTCGATCTAGGGGAAAAATGAAACAATATAACGTTGGACTGCCATTCGAAAGAATCGCTGTTGACATTGCAGGCCCATTCCCTGAAACGCACAAGGGCAACAAGTACGTTTTAGTGGCGATGGATTATTTCAGTAAATGGCCAGAAGTTTTTGCCATTCCAAACCAAGAAGCATCGACTGTAGCTGAAGTATTAGTCAATAATGTCTTCAGTAGATTTGGAATTCCTTTAGAGCTTCACACTGACCAAGGAAGGAACTTCGAGTCAAGACTGTTCCAGAAGATGTGTGATCTGCTTGGTATTCACAAGACTAGGACAACAGCTTTACATCCGCAGTCTGATGGGATGGTCGAGAGATTCAATAAGACCATTGAAGAACATCTCTCGAAAATGGTGGATGAACATCAAAGAGATTGGGATCAGCATATACCACTATTCCTAATGGCATATAGAAGTGCAGTTCACAACACCACCGGACTTTCACCATCGAAGATTTTATTTGGTCGAGAATTACGGTTGCCTTGTGACTTGGTGTTCGGATCACCAGACGACAGCACCACGAACGTAGAGGACTACGCGGATGAACTGAAGGAAAGGTTATTGGGAATTCATAAGGCCGTGAGAAGTAAGATTACGCTAGCCAGTGACCGGATGAAAGCTCGTTACGACCTCAGAGCTAATTCTACGGGATTTCAACAGGACGATATGGTATGGTTATATAACCCACAGCGCAAGAAAGGGAGGTCCCCAAAGTTAACTCCAGCATGGGAAGGTCCTTATACAGTCATCAAGAGGATAAATGATGTTGTGTACCGGATTCAACGCAGCCCTAGAAGTAAGATGAAAGTAGTTCATCTGGATCGATTGAAGAGATACCAGACAGGAAACCTTGATCGGGGACGATCAAATTTGAGAAGGGGCAATGTCAAGATGTATTACTGGTTGCATAACTGCATACTGCTAAAAAATCGCAACGTGCATTGAGGAACCTGGCGCATTCGCCAGAAAGTAAAGAAAATTATAGAATTCTTTAGAAAAATCTAGAAACAACCGCCAGGGGGTATATAAGGCCCGCGCTTTGACAGTTGGA